CATCAGAATCGAAGGAGACAGCTTCAACTAGAGCCAACCGACAGCCGGCCGATAGAAACCCGGCGTTGTATTCTGGTGGGATCAACCAACAAACATCCCTTGCTCACACATTTTTACTTGAAATTGAAGTGAGTACAAGAAACCATTTTTTAACTTTAAAATTGGCGGAACTACTTTTAAGATTGTGAGCAGCGCTCATTTAGAAGGATGTAAATACAACCTTTGGATGTAAGAGCCCTGAAAAGGTTTTCACATCTGAAATGGACTGCAATTTCGAACCTGCCCGGGTCGCATCCAATCCCAAAACGGGATTACAAAATGTTTAGTTACGAGGACGAGTTTCATTTGCCACTATATTCATTGGTATTACTCAGTAAGTAGTGAGTAGATTTTTATATTATAAGAAATCCAATTTTTACTGCTTTCTTTATTCATTTTCACGCAGTCAACACATTTGATTGAGGATAAATTCAACCACCAGTCTTTTATTGCCTTAAACGAAATATGGTGGACCGGAAGTCCCTGAAACTTACTTACAAACTGAAACTTATTTTTTATTGTCGACTCCACTTTGCTCAATCTACAATAAGACCACGAATAGGGCTCTGTGTACCAGACAATCTGCTATTTAAGTGTTCTCTTCCTAGCTACACCAACATCCCGATGAGGGATCCAACCCTCAGCAAGACGATGAAGGAAAGGCCGTGATATAAACAAATAGAAAAAACAATAGTACGTAAGAGGTATATTATTTTTCAAGAAGAAAGTCAACCTGAGTGAAAATTAATTTTCCCAATGCTATCCAAGGATTTTCGAATTCACTACTTGTCACCCTAAAACCAACCCACAAAGGTACTACCCTCAGTTGTCCTTGGTGTAGTAATCATGCTCTTCTGGCCGACAGGTCAGTTAACAGAATTGTTGTTAGGTTGAGGCGGCTTTTGCTCCAACGACGCAGAGAAAAATTGTTTATACTTTCCCAAGTGCTCCTCAGTCTCGACCAGATGGCTGTTCAGCCTGTATCCGGCAGTAACCATCCGGGCAAAAACGTCTGCCGATCTGAAT